ATACGTAGGGAAATGGCACTATATGTAGTCACTGCTTGGCTGTGACTTTTCTAGGTGACAAGCAGTGAATAATAAATGTTATTTATAAAGATTTTTCACTGAAGGTTGTTGGATGAAAATCAACTATTTATGAAGTAATACAAGAAGTATCTCCTTAGTAACTTTTTCAAATTATGATTGATTTAACTAGAATTTCAGACAAATTCTGAATCAGATTATTTTCTTGTGAGATCAGAAACTGTGCCTGGGCCTTTAAATTGCTATTATAAAAGCAGGTCTTAAACAGAATTAGGGATTCCTTTCATATACACCATATACTTGTGAAATGAGCCTTCAGCACATTTTGCATTTTTTTTTTTGAATCTACAAATCTGATCTTCAAACACCCAAAGAGTTGTTTCCAGCTGAAGCCAGTGGGCTCTGCAGGTGCAAAGCCACTCTGAAAATCCGGCTTTGGTATTGTGGTTGGTTTCTCTTCTATTTGTTATTTGATAATAAACAGTAGCAAAATATACTTAGATCCTGCTCCCATGGAGTTTTGTCACTGACTCCTCTGTAAAAGTTCTAGAGGCTGTATTTCTTCCCGTTTACATTATTTGCCTGCAGGAGAACTTCAGGGTTCTGACTGCTAGCATTGCAGTGTGGGGAACAGAGAGAACAAATGTCTGGATGAACCCTGCTCTTCAGGATTCACTTAATGGCCCTCATACATCCCCTGGGGACAGACCCCAGATCACTGGGTTTGTTTTAACAACTTCTATCTACCTATTCCACTTGCCTTCATGCTGATGGTATAGTAATCAATGTCAGACATTCATCACTTTTCCAGGAGTTTCTCATATTTCTAGGACACAAAGTCAGTTTAAACTGCACAGAGCCCATGCAGACAAATACACTCACAAGATGTGGTGTCCTGAGAGCATTCTGTGCTTCAGGCTGCTCCCGGGACTATGCTGGGCTGATGGAGGTCCAGGCCTGCTCAGCTGCAGTAGAAGCTCAGCTTGTGCTCTGTCTGGGGCTCCCAACTGCATGTCTTTTTGTAAGAATGACTTCTTAGGTAATCACACAAAAATCTCTTTGATAAGCTCTAAGTACCACCGTATATTTGCTGTGGTCTCATGTAAGCAGCATGTTGCCTCTTTCACAGCCTCTCTCTTTCCCACCTTCTGCTTGCAGGTGAGAAGCCTCATAAGTGCCAGGTGTGTGGAAAAGCCTTTAGTCAAAGCTCCAACCTCATCACCCACAGTCGGAAGCACACAGGCTTCAAGCCCTTTGGCTGTGATCTGTGTGGCAAAGGCTTCCAACGAAAGGTGGATTTACGGAGACACCGGGAGACACAGCATGGCCTGAAATGAGTCCAAACTACAGTACAGAAAGCACCTAACACTATGAGAACAGACCCCTTGGCTTCCCTGCTGGACCCAAGCCCTGTCTTGGACACAGACCCTGGCATTACCTTTCCGAACAGGAGCTCGAAGAGGAAAGAAGGGGACAGAGCCATGTGTTGACAGCTCAGCCTGAATGACTGTGAAGGGGGAAAGTAAAGGCTGGGGTTTCTTTCTTTCTCTTCCCCTTGTTGTTTCTGAAATAACACTGAAATACAAGCCTTTTAGATATAAAGCCTAATACTCCAAAGATGGATAAGCTATCAAATATCTGCAAGCTGGAAAATATTTCTCCCATGGCCATGATGAACCCCTTCAAGTATAGTTTGCATCAGATGGCAGGAAAATATGATTATAACAGTGTTTACATGGGGTAATGACTGAGAGCCATCAGCAGCTGCCCCGGTTGAGTCCAGTGCTGAATGGGTTCACTCTTGGATGACTTCCTGTCAGGAGGATCCTGGAGGATCAGGACTGTGCAGTTTGACATCTTGCTGGTTTTTAACCAAAGGTACCAGCTTGGGTCTGATCCTGCTCTCATTTATTCTGGTGCAAATCAGGAGCTGCATTAACAGTTATAGAGAGGTCCTTTTTATCCTCCCTGAGCCATCTCTCTCTGTGCAAGGTCTGACTGCCAGTGTGTTTGAAGCATGGAGTGTTACTTCTTCCTACATCCATCAGGGAGAAGGAAGCTTGTGAAAGATCAATGGAAAAGCCAAAGCACAGAATGACGCCTTATAACTAGAACCAATCCAACAAGTGAACCTGCCTGAGGAGGGCAGGAGCACCAGGGAAGCACAGACTTTCTGTCCAGAACCATTACTGGCTTCTACACTCTGGGCTTGTTCTAATAACTGGAAAATAGATACTCAATAGCATCAGTTGTATATTTGTTTTTGGTTTTATAATTTTAAGGGGAACCTTCTGAGGTGGGCAGGACTTACTATAAGAGTATAATTTACTTAACTTGCCTTAACAACTCTGCATGTACCTCAGTTAAAAAAAAAGCTGTTTTTACTTTGTTGACAAGTTTGTAAATGTCCTTATATAGATTTTATGGAGTGTCTTACATTTCTTGGTACATATTTATTAGAACAATGTTTTAAGTTAATAAAGTATCGAGGATGGTCCAGAGTGATTATTACTTAATATGTAACTGCACATTTGTGAATGTCAGCCATTACAACAATACACCACAGTGATTGTCAGAGATGCAGCCAAGGAGGGAATGCAGGCACAAGGGCTGTAGTGATTAAAGAACACAACTGCCATATTTATTTATCCAATTCCTACTGATTTCAGATAAACATTCACACTTTTGAGGATGAGGGTATACCATGGCTTGGACTATCACTATAAAATGATTCAGGGGGGAAACCACAATTTTAAGACTTTGCTTTGGAAATGTAGACAGCCAGAAATCGTGCTTAGCCTAGGAGCAACTTGAATGTCTCCCACAAGATTAAATGTCTGTGCCCGGGAGTTTGCAGGGACACCTGAGCAGCAGGTGCATCATTTATACTTAAGCCTGTTGGGACTCACAATATGGCCTTTTGCCTGCCTGCCTTGTCAGCAGGGCTGGCTCCATCTGGCAGTTGCAGCCCATACAAAAGAGAAGCAGGCGGATGATGGAGGGGTCCCTTGTCCTTTTCCCAACAGAGCACAGCATGGCAGCCTGGGTTTTTACATGTGCACGTAATCTTGCGTGCCCACACGGGTATATACTCATGTTTCCAGCTTTGTACATTTATTCTGGATAAACCCAGTGAGCAGAGTCGCCCTGTGCCCCGCTGGGCTGGCCCCAGCCCTGGGGCAACCCTTCCAGCCCGAGGTCGGGGCACTCACCTGCCATGGTGCCAAGGAGGTCCTCCCTGTGCTTTTGCTTTCTGCCACCCTCGAGAACTTCGGTTGGTTCCCCTCGGGCTGTCCCGCCAGGCTGTGGCCGTGTCCCCTCAGGGCTGTCCCGGCGGGCTGTGGCCGTGTCCCCTCAGGGCTCAGCCTCTCGGGCGGGGCTGTGGCCGTGTCCCCTCGGGGCTGTCCCGGCGGGCTGTGGCCGTGTCCCCTCGGGGCTGTCCCGGCGGGCTGTGGCCGTGTCCCCTCAGGGCTCAGCCGCTCGGGCGGGGCTGCGCTCTGCCCCTGGGTGCCCAGGCCGGGCACCGCAGACCGAGCTCTCGCTGAGCAGAAACGCGGCCACAATCACACAGGCTGAAGGGATGTGGCACAGGTACTGCAGGAGATGCCAGCTGCTCTGAAGACCACATTAGGCCCGTGGTGCTGGATTAATTCATGCGGAAGGTCAGTGCAGGAGACTCGGTGGTTATGTGGAAGGCCTGTAATGCCCTGGGTCCCACCCAGGCCAGGGGAGGCTCCAAGGTGTGGCTCAGCCGGTGGCACAGGCAGGCTTGGGGCTGCCCCAAGGGTGATGCTCTGTATTTATTTTACAGGGGAGCTGTTGCTGTGGATGGAGTGAGTGCTGGCCAATGGTTCTGGTTATGGGTTGGCCAGGGTGCAGCTGGTACCCCCAGTCCCTCTGCCCTCAGGAGGACCATTCCTGCCAGGCACAGCCTCCCTCCTTCCTCCCTCTGGGCAGGCCTTGCTCCAGCAGGCACTGAACAGGCTCAGTTGTTGGCATTTTTTACCTTTAAAACTACAATAACAATGTGTGCTTGCCCCCTTGGAGCATCCTATTTCCAAACAGGGCAACTAGTGTGGTTTGAGTCTAGTGCTGCTCACAGGGTGGGGTGGATGGCCGGGGAGGCAGTATGGATGCAGCACACATGGCAAAAATGTTCTTCATGGGAAGAAACCCACAGGTGTTTTATTGGTTTAAGTGCATCTCCTCCCAGAGCATGTTGCAGTTAATGGTGTCTCAGGGCACAACTCTTGGGGTGGAACTCAGATCCAAACCGCCTGAAATGTTTTGTGTTGCTGCATGGGAGGGTGTTCCCATGTGCCCAGCCCTGCTTGCTTGAGTGTCAGTTGCTGGTTTGGGTGAAATGCAGCTACTCATGGAGAAAAGTCATGTCTTCAAGGTGGAGAATTGAAATGAAGAAGAGGAAAAGAAGATTTATCTGGGGAGAATCAGAACAGGCTACTGAGAGGCTGTGGAGCAAGTCTGAAGATTGGAAATATCTCTCTCAATGTTATTACTGTGTGCCATTAAAAATGCATTATGCATATTACATGACCCATTATTCATGAAGCAGGTTCCATACCTTTTGTTTGCCAGAGTAACAGTAGAAAGGGTAAGGAGAGACACTGGAGCACACCTTTGTTTCTTTCTGTAAATTTTTAATGACACCTCTAGCTAACCAGTTGGTGAAGCTCAGTTCCTGCATAAAAGTGGAAAGGCAGAGCTATCTACGGGACAACTAAGCCTTTCAGAAGCTAATTTGAGCTTGTGTTCATCCACACCAACAACGATTAGATTACCTATCAAGTGTGCAGAGCTATCAGGATTCAGGGCATTGAAAAACAAGGTGAATTTATCTGATTGATTTAAAAGACATGGGTGGAACAACTGGGTTATAAAAATAAAAGGTCTATTCCTTATAGATATTATAGAAGTACTTCTCTGGCAAGCTAAAGAACTTTTTACTTTGCTTCCAAAAGTTGTTTTGGTTGCACAGAAAATAAATTTATTAGTTGGAATCAAAATGCTTTATCCAAATCAGTTAGCAGGCTGAATTAATTCATGAGGCAGAAACAAAGTGCCTTATTAGGTTCCATCCCTATGCCAAGCAGAGATGTTTAAAATTAAAATATGCAAACATCATCTGTGTTTTCTATACAGTCAGTTTCCAAAAGCTGATAGTAACACTCAGATTGGATATTGCAACACAAGTTAGAGAGCAGCTCTTCTGGGTCTTGCTCCTTCCTCAAGCAAAACATTTGTTGCAGTTAAAGGAGGGAGGGAGGAAGAAGTTTCTAGAACAAGCCTTGGGTGAAAGATTGCGAGACCCATGCAATTCTGCTTGCAAGCTGTGCTGCTGTTGCACATTGGCAAAGGTGTGCTCCTCAAGCCTCTGCATTTTCCACCCGTAAGAGAGACAAACCAAACAGGTCAGTTGTATCAAATTCATCTCCAGCATAACCCCAGTTCACATCAGGAAGGGATTTTACCTTTACTCTGTAAGATTTGGGTCTTACTCTAAATAGTGAAACATAGCTCAGCAAACAGCCCTTTGAGGAAATTCTGATTTAGAAAAGCACTGAAATATGCATGTAAATCAATGGAGTGTGTCTCTAACAGAGACCTTACTAGATGCCTGCTCAGAGTTAAAATTCCAGAGATTTTCCCTACTGAATCTTAGACCTTACTCCATTGCCAAGCCACATCCTGTCTATTTTCACCTGCAGCGGAGGTGGCTTCTGAGAATGCCAAGGGTAATTTTTTTTTTAATTGTCAGTAGGCTAGTGGTAGTTTCCAGTATTTTTTCCTCTGAGTAATAAAGCAGTCTAAATAGATTTCAGGCATGTAAATATCTGTTATGCATTACAAGGCATGTAAAATGATGGAACCAGATTTTAAAGGTATTTGTGCATCTAAAGCTGCAAATACATCTGAATGTGGATTGGATATGAGTATCTAGTTTTGTCCATGACTTCTTTATTGGGGGAAGAAAAATGAAAAAATCCCAACACATGAGTCTCAGAACATTTCTTGAGTCTATCTCACACTAGTTTGTGATATGCACAACATATGGACTGTAAAGCTAGACCACATAAATCTGAAGGAAATGTTTCATACATTATAACAATGCTGGCCACACCTTGTTGGAATAATGTTGCCTAACGGATTTACCTGGAACATGTGATAAAGCTTTCGAATAAGTTGAAAGAAAATAATTTTTATGTGCTTGTTCTAACATGCTGCTTCTCATCTCCTTTTTTTTTCTTTTTTTTTTTCTTTTTAGTAGAGGTGACATGACAAAAGAATATTGAATAAGGCAAAAATATAAGGAAAATAATGTAACAGGTATTGAAATTATTTTCTTTTAATACTGTGCAGCCAATTTTCTGACACATGTGGGATCCCCCAGCCAGCTGGGTACTACAGTGCATGGGGTGCATCCACCCCACTCACTCAGACTCAGTGTCCATAGGCACTGGCAGTTGCTGCAGCAGTGCTGGGCTCCTCTGCTCAGTCAGCTGCTGGCTTGTGCTGCCAGCTCCTGTGTGGCACACGGCTCAGAGGTGGCTGCTCCGCCACCGCGCTGGCACTGGCTGGCAGGAGTGCAGCACCGCAGGTGTTGAAAATGGCCAAGATATTCCATTGACTGAAGTACTGTAATAGGGCCAGCTGGCATTAAAGGGAAATTATAATCCTCTGAGGTGACAGACAGTTCATTATGATACATTACTTATGTTTTACACTTTGTTTTCCCCCTATTAATAATACATTTCCAAAGCTCACTGATAGACTCAAGGGATGAATTCAAAGGGGAAAAAGAGCATTGCAAAAGATAAGAAGCTAACTTCCAGTGTTCTTAGTATTTCTTATAAGAAATTTTAAGTGTTGAAGTGAAGAGCCACAACAAATTAATAGTATTTTATTATGTGGTCAGCCAGAAAAGAATAGACATTACTTTGGTCTAAACTGCTTCCAAGGACTCCTTCTAGCAATTAACTTTAACTGATTTAAGCCAAGGGAATTTATGTTGCCTGTTGCCTACCTTATGTTGCTAAATTCCCAATTTCACAGACTTGTCAGCTCTAGCTCTGCTATTGCCCTTTGCCTCCCTGAAACACAGCAACATGGACAGGCAGGAGGGTGAGATCCAAAAAAGGAATGGGTGAAAAATATTCTTGATCCTCTTTATGTAACTGTTCTAACTCTTTGAGGTGCTGCAGGAATGATGGTTGCAGGTAGACATCACTTATTGCAAACCTGCAGTCAGGGAGCTTGGACCTTCTGGACCAGGATGCTCTTGCTAACACTGAGTAATAGTGAGTGTGAGTCAGGGTGCTGTCACCTCAAGCTCTGAGAGCAAAGAGCTGGGTCTTCCTGTGTGCTTGTGCTGGGCTTTGTGCTGCAGGGGCCTGACCTTTGCTGAGCTCTGCTGTGTACTCTATATATCTGTTGTCAGTTGGTTTTGGAATTATTTGTGTTTTCAGTAGCTTAAATTAACATTAATGACAATGGAGAAGAGTCTCCTTCCTGTGTGATATTTCCACCATGGCTGAGGTGTTTTGCTTGTGAGCTCCTCTACTAAGCCAGGTAGCCTTGCTCTCTGCCTGCTCATTTGTCAGCTGGGCCTGGCTCTGGCAGGGCTCACTGCTGTTGTTCCCTACAGGCATTTGGCAATCTTTGGATTGATTTCTGTGGCCAGTTGAGGTGGTGAGGCCGTTTGCCACCTCTCCCTTCATCCCAGGCGAGGGGGGGTGATCTTCCAGCGGGTGCTTCCTTCCCAGTTTCCTCAGCCCAAGTTGCGTCACAGACCTTTGCAAGGATGGAAAAGAACGGTTGCATTTATGGGAGGAAGGGGTTTTATGCAAGTGGGGTGAGCTCTGTCCTCTCTTAGTTTCCCCTAAATTCTAAATACATCTGTCTGAAACCTTTCACATCACTCATCATACTCCAGGAAGACATGGAGCCATGGAAGAGCATGTGCCTGCTTAAGTGTGAAGTGCCTCAAACTGCTAGGCACCAAATAATTGCAGAAGGGGAGATGCTTGACTGTTACTTCTCTCTTCTGAGACTGCTGTGGTTTAGTTTTTAACTGTGGCTCTTTCCACTTGCCATTTGGATGTCGGTTTTGTTCCTCTGCATGTTTGGTTGCTGAAATCTCATGTTTGAGCAATTTTTTTTGTGAATGTCTGTATGTTGGAGAAGGCTGCCACAGCCTTTATATTGATGGTTTGACAAGGTTAAAGACTCCTGGATTTTAGATCCCAGCAGTGGCTGGAGAGTGAAGATGCTCTCTACAAAATGCAAGTATAAGGAGGTGTGGTTCTCAGCCAGAAACTGTTGGATCCTATGGGTCCTATACAGTAAAGAGTAACACAAAAAAACAACTGCACTGGCTGAGCTGGGTTCTGCCACTGTTCATCTGAATCAGGGTAAATGCTGCAGTTAAGCAGCATGACTGGATGTGCAGCGTGCGTTACAGTGAGGATGCCTGTTGGTACTGCTAGTGAGTACTGGTGAAAGTCTCCCATGTTAATGTTATTGCCCTCTCTCAAGTCCCCCTTCCTGTTAGCTGTGTGGTGGGAATTCAGCTGACAATCACTGAAGCTCCCTGAGAGCACAAGTACTGGCATATGAATCAGTCTCCAGTGGTGGTACCAGTGCCTCTTGGCCAGAGACCTTGCAGTCCTGAAGCTCTGGAGGGTTTTGTTTTACAGGGAGGGCAAAAAGGGTAGAAAAACCTGTCAACAATGAAAATTGTTTCCTCGTGCTTCATTTTCCTCGCCAACGTAGAAGCCAAAAAACACCAGGCCTTGCTTTCTACCCAAAAAAATGCTTCTTTTTCTCTGTCTGGGCTGCAGGCATTGCTGTGCCTGTTCTCTGCTGCTGCTGGGGGGTGACTCAGGGCTGTGCGTTTTCCTGGCCCCCCCATGATGTGAGGAGGGGAGTGTCACCCATGTGTAGAGCTGGTGGCAGTCAATCTTGCCAAGAGCTGGCTCCTGCATATGGGCCCCCAGGCAGGCCAGCACATGGCAAACACAGGCCTGTGATGGTGCAGCCCTGCTCCTGGCCCATGGTTTGGGTGCTCTGTTTCCTATTTCTTCAATCCCTTTATTCCAGCGAGCTGCTCTTACTATATTGACAATAAAGAGTGGTAACTGAAATCAGGTTTATGGGCTAAAGGAGCTGAAGTGCCCTTTTAGCACAGCCCACAGTAGCCAGGGATGTGACAAAATCTCTATCACCTTAACACCACAGCTGGCCAGCCATGCTTCTGAGAGGTTTTTATGTTTTCTACAATATAACAAAATAGTTAGTCAGCTTAAGTGTAAATGAGTCCAATTCCTCATCTGTCAATTAGCAGGGTTTCATTGTTAGCTCTGACAAAGTCTTGTTCAAGGGACTGACAATCTGACTTAATTTTATATGATGTCCTGAGGACTGAAACTCACTTCTGTTAGAAATAAACTAAAGTGCCCCTGTGTATAGGCTGGCCAGGGCAGAGGAGCAGAGGGAGCAGGGAAGATGCCATCAGTATAAGAAAGTCATGGGCCAGATGAGATTGTGTTTAAGTCCAGGTGTCCCTGGCATACAGATACCTGCTAGAGACTCCTTGAGAGTGTTTGCAGTCCTATAAACTTGAAAGAGAAATTTAAAATAGGGTAATTGCAGGTCTTTCTAACAGTGGTGCTCAGTTTTATGTTGTAACAATGGTTGCCAAAGAGGTAAGAGGAAACTCCACCACAGTACTGAGAGAAAATGTGTGTGCAGCAAGTGCCTGGGGCACATCCAGGCTCTGGGCAGCCACAGCCAGAAAGGTCAGGCTGAAGATCCATGGGTTGGTGCTTGACGGATTTGATTTCTCCACAGGAGACCCTCAAACACCTTGAAGGGGGACTAGAACCGGAATATGACTTGGGAGATGGAGTACTCAAATGCATTCTGCGATCTGGAGGAGGGAAATCAAGGCTGAACTCACTCAGACACACAGAGCTAAGAGCATGCTGGACTGTCAGTTAATTAGCTGGGGAGAGACATCCTTGCCTGACAGTGGATGGTGGGGATGATGGCTCAGAAGCCTCTGGGTAAGAGGCATGTTGACTGTAACATGTCTAAAGAGCTTCCTAGGCAGGGAGAACCTCAAATGGCCTTTCCAGATTTACTGCTGCAGTAGGAGGCTTTGCATGTTGCTGTGACACTGAGGTCTGAGCTTAACTACCTTACTATGAGTACAGAGAAGTGTCTTTCTACGGCTCCTTTAAAAAAAACATTAGTTACTGAACCTGTGGTATGTTACTGTGAAGTGCCTTGGCCTCTGGTAATGAACTTGGAATATTTTCAAGGAAACATATGGCTAAAGATTCATCTTTTTCCTAGTGCTGGTTTAACTGATCATGATGTTGAAACCAATTTGTAACTCCCCTTTTGGGAGGTGCAATGTTCCTGCAGCTCAGTGTTATCAGATGAATTGCAAGCTTAGTGCCTAAGTAGTTTTCAGGGTTAGTTTTCTGCAGAGATTCACAGTAAGCCTGTAGGTAAGCTGTCTGGAAGGACGGGTTGGGCACTGTAGTGGTCCTTAATGACCAGGAAAGTTCCAACACCCTGAATTTCCAGTGGGGTTGGGAGGCAATGCATTAAAGGTGTGTGTATATGTGGATCAGTATGTGGCTTGCTGGTTTTTCTTGCTCTGGGCAAAATCTGTTGGCTGTTCAGAGGGTGTAAGAGCCCCAGGTGTCAGGTGTTGTGTATCTGATGAAAAGATTCACTTGTGGAAAAAAGACTCAGCAAAATGTTAACTCTTGTACTTCTCAAGAGCTGTCTGGGATGTGCTGCCGATTCAATTATTTTAAGAGAGGTGATTAAATGACATTATTATGAATTTCCAGTCCCAAAAGATTAATTCTGTTCTGTACAATATTCTACCAATTGAGTTTGGCCTTGAGTGGTCCAGCAAACAAATACTTCACTAGTGTTTTTCCTTCAAATATACTGTTCTTCCTGCAAATGTACTGAACAAAATTCTGTGGTTTTTCTTTTCTTCTATACTTTGGTAAACACAGAAAAGAACCTCTTTTCCTTCTGAAAACTTGTTACTTCCAAGAACTCTTGTTCCTTCTAAAAGGCCCCCAAAATGAATGCACATCAATTTCCAAAATGAAAATACTGGATAGTAGGAATAGCCATAGGTTACTGAATGGTGCTGAAGTGTTTTCCCTCCCTCCCCCAGTTTCCATAAGCAAGCTCTGTGACTGCCAAAGCTGCACCTGACCGATGATTTTTAGCAGGAGAGAGTAGATGCACATGAGAAATTGACAGTCGGGACAGGGAGTGATCTAAGAATTGAAAACTGAAGTAATTTAATGTTGCTATTGAGTGGCTGTTTCTACTATTTAAACCAATCAAACTACCTTTCTTTTGCTTTCAGCCTTCTAACAAAAGGTGTTTATCTGCTTAGATGTGTGCTTTCAATGCGTGTTTTTTACTGGAACTCTAATTTCTAAATAGCTGGAGAAAGAGAAATAGGAGAGGAGTGGGCAGTTACTTTCCCTTCCCTTGGAACAGTGTCTGGATTTCCAAAGCTGCTGTCAGCTGTGGGCCATGGAAATGGCACTCAAGTTCTTGCAGAAAACAGCCCCAACACTACATGCCAAGAACTTTGGAGGCTGTGGCCTGAAGCAATACGCTAGGTAATTGTTCAATAGCTAACAGACCTTTTCAGGTTGTCTTCAGAGCAGGAATACTTGGACCCGTTAACGTCTCACCAGTGATCCTCAGCCCTTCCTCTATCATGTGGTGAGCTGCAGGCGCAGGAATGCACGTGCACGCAGAGTTTGGCTGTGCATCGCGGCACTTACAGCCGGCTTTCTTCCTGTGGGTGAAACCTCCACGCGCACTTCTGGCATCTGGGCACATTGCGAACAACCTTGCAAAGTAAACATCCACCTACAATTTTTATTTTCCCAAATCACTCCTTTAGCTAATGTTTCAAAGATACATACGCACCACATCTGGTGCAAACCAAATATTTTCAGTCTGTTGGATGTGAGTCAATATTTGCCCAAGGTATTACAAAGACGGCCATGAAGCTGTGACTGACTAAAGGTAAAAGTGCCCTAGTTGAGGATTTGTCTTGGGCTTATATTTGTGATGGGGCATCTTGATAGCACTGCTCCTGTGCTGATGGTGCTTGTGGCTAATTTCAGATGGCCCCCTTGATGACTGGCCCCCATGCGCTTGTGCAGACAGGGCTTGACTCATCACTGGTGCTGCTGGAGGACTGACACTGCTCATGCAGCCCTCCGGGCATTCCCCTGGGAGAGCCAGATGCAATGGAGACATTTGCAGGAGGGCTCCTCACTAGAGTGAAGGAGATGAATAAATCAGTGCATTCTATCATGCTGGCACAGCTCCCGTTTCAGATTTTTGCACCAAAGTGTTTATTTTGTGTAAGTTGCGGGTTCCTGGTGCCTCTGCAGTCTCTGTGTAGGCTTCCTGCTGACAGATGTGCTGTACTTGCCATCAAGTTGTGGAAGTTGGCCTGTCAGAGCTGAATCAATCCTAGAAATGCTATTAAAATCTGACATGCCTTTTGGTTACTTGAGACTCGCTTGGGTAAACAAAGGTCAAATCTTCAGTTTCTTTTTTGGTATTTACATAGTTCTATAGCAAACTCCCACTGCTCCAAGAGCATTTCAAAGCTGACTCACATGTGACAGATTTGTCTTACTCTAACTGAAATTAAAGAATGGGAACCTGACTGTAGGATGACCTACATTTAATATGTCATATTTAGTGTAAATCTGAGTGGTCTGTGCTCTAAACAGAACTGAACATGTTTCAGCTCTGTAACTCAGTCAATGATGTGTGGATTGTATCTAGTTGGTACAAGAGTCTCACTGGTGCTGGTGGGGTGTCTCTGCAGACTAAATTTGGCAATGATCAGTCTGCTGGAGGGAAAAGGGTCATTTCCTGGTCACTGCTGGCTGCTGGAAAGGCTGGGTCAGTGGGTGTTACTCTTATCTTCAGTACTTCCACTGAATTCTGTGTGGCTCAGCACATTTGGTCTTTGTGCTTATGGCAGCATCTGTTTTTCACTTTGTTCTTCCTCGAGGCCAGGGACTAACATAACACTAAGGGCTACTCTTAAACCTTCCTGGAGAAAGAACTCACACTAAGTAGCTGCACACCTGATTATGGTCAACCTGAAATTCATTGCATTTAACTGGAAGTGACACACCCAGTGCTGTAACAAAACAGTAAATCCTCAGAAACCAGGGGTGAAGAATGAACACATTCCTGGTCAGAGCCCAGCCTTAGTGGAGAGGGAAGGTTATTGTGTGACAGAAGCCTCCTTGCAATGGGATTACACCCTGCTTGATTGCTCTGTGGTTTGAGGTGTGGGTTGTTACAACTAGCAGAACACACAGAGCAGGGTTTGACAAGTCCTCTCCTATTTTGTAGCAGGTATTTATTTCAAATTCCTCTTTTATGATCTTTTTGTTGCATTTAAAAAGCAGAATTGCTTAGTGTTTTGTTTTTTTTTATTTTTATTTTTTTTTAAGATTTTGGGTGACTTAACAGTCATTATGATCTAAGAGAAGTTGTTCATGGCAATTGCTGTATAACCATATGGGAAACACTGTGTTTAAATGTTGCATAAGAGTTGGTGCTGTGGTCTCTGCCTTCATTTGCCTGTTAACGGTCAGCAAAACAGGTTCAAGTCTTTTATGTCAGTGCTTGACCTGTCATGTTGCTGTTTGCTTGGGTTTACAAGCACTCACTGTAGTTCAGCCATCTTTGAGAATGAGATGCTGGGCAAATGTCACTCTCGCTCTGTGCCCTCCTCCTTAGGAAGCTGCAGTTCCCTCTCATGGCATCTTGGGTGGGACATCTTCCCTTCTCCATACTTCTGTTTGCTGGGTAGCTGCAAAATTGCTTTTTCCCAAGGGGGCAAAAAGCATCTGAAAGAGCTCATCCCTCTCAAGCTGCTGTTCTGAGATGGGACTTTTGCCTCTTCACCTCAAGGTGTGTGACAAGGAAATGAGACCTATACATGGGCAAACAAGGGAGTACAGACTTTTCCTTTCCTGCCAATTGCCTCTACCTCATGCTTGCACCTGCATGCCTGTGAGTGGTGTCTGGATAACATCACTGGGTTTGCTTGAGCAAAGCAGTGGCTGAGCTATGTACCAGGGAATTGCTGTGCAGCCAGCTTCAGCTACTGACTTGGGACTGGCACACAGACCAGACCCCTGCCATGTTGGTGATGGGTACCTGTGCTGCCCTTTAATTGCTCTGGGACATTGAGATTAAACCTGTAGCAAACATCTTGGGTTTAGTATTGGAGTTTTACCTCTGTCCAACCTGCAACTCCTACTACAAGCTGTGAACACACAATTCATGCAGGTTTGGTGGAGACTTTCAAGGGCTCTGCAGCTAAATTCCCTTAATTCCCTTACTTTGGTTCCTTGCATCCAGCAGACACAGGTGAGAGCAGTCAGGCAACCTCCAGAGTCCTCCTCTTTCCACAGCCTCAAACACCAAGTGCCACAGCTTGAAGGGTAGGTTCTGATTAGGAACTGGACCAACACCTACAGATACAGAGATGGTAATAACACTGAAAGTATTGTGCTGTATTTACCCACTACTGCAAAAATAACAGATGTGCAGCAGTAATTAGCAAAACTCTTAATTAGAGATATGTAGAACTGAGTGGCTGAGAGTATTGCTTTCTAGAAGTAATTTCTGAACTAATACCTAAATCTACAGAAATCACAGAAAAGTGATTTCTGAGTGCAGTCATGAATTATGCTGCTGTGACAGGATGTTATGCCCCATCTCAATCTGTTTCATTCTTAGAGGCATGCTTTGCATAAACTAACAGAAATCACACTGGTTATAAAAAAATTATTCTAACACACTACAGGACTACCCCTTAGGTAGGACTTCATCACAACCTTACATATTGATAGAAATATAATTCTGTTAGTCCATTAAGAAGTGTAAGGACATTTTCTTGTGCCTTCACTCAGAACTGCACCTACATGGGGTTTCAGGATGCCTAATGTAACAGTCAGATAAGTGCTTTCTTGCCTACGGCTATTTTACTGGAAATCCTGGTAATGAAGACCTCAGAATAAGCATTTGTGTCAAAAACCCATGTTTTCAGTGCTTCCACCCTGGAAAGGGATGCAGTAAGTGTCTGTTTCTCTTCTATTATTGATTATTTATTGTAGTTCTCACTAGAGGATAGAAGACTAAGCCATTCTGTTTTGAAATGTCAAACCTTAACCTTTGTGCAAACTTTCTGAAGTTGAGCAAGCTGTGTGAAAATGGGCCACTGTGATTGAATACCGTTAATGTGGAAATAGTTAACTCCTACACAACGCTGTGTTTCACCATCTGCAACATGATTTAGGTCTGCAATGGTTTCACAGGTCTGTGATGCTTGTGCAGATTTTGTGGTGGTTCTCCTATTTATAATTACTACTGTACTTAAAGAAACATCTGTACACTGATAAGCAGTACATAACACTGATACATAGACGCAGATGCTAAAAATATAATTACACTTTTGTGCTGAGCATTCAGCTATCCAGCCTGACTTCATACCCTGTATTCATCATTGCTTTCAGAGGCAGATTCTCACCCTGCCACAGGAGATTTTTCTTTTCTCCCGGATGGGGTCTCTTGCATTTGGTTGTATTAAAACACATTTTGTGACTGTGTGAATCAAATCACTCTGTAACACTGACCTACCCTCCTTATCTCCGTATGGTTCCATGTGCTCTAATGTTATCTGCCAATTCTACTGGCAGATTTTTAACATGACAGCTCCTTCCCCTCACCTTTCTCCTCACTGTGAGTTCATCTCACTCCTGTGTCAAACCTCTGTTGACATCCTGCTTTTCTTCACTAAACCTCTGCTGAAGTTTCCACACGGTGCCTGGTGCTGGCCCTTCCTTACCCCTCTCTCTGAAGAAGTGTTAGTCCAGGCAAGTTCAGTACCAGCTGTTGGTTTACTGTCACAGACACACTGTAGTACCTTGGCTGTTGTGCTGATGGAATTCATTGCATGAAAAGTGCCTCTACACAGATGGCCTGGATTGAAAGAAAATACCTCCAAAAGCTGCCCAAAACCAACCCACCATGAACCAAGAACTATTTACAATCTTTGCTCATAGTCAGCCCCCTTTACTACTGGATTCTACTCTGAGATTCAGTCATTCAAGCTGGTTTTCCATACACTTAATGGGCATCACTGTTATTTTTGTTCTCCCTAACAGAAGGGTTAATTTTTAGTAAGAATGCCTTGTAGAAGAAACTCAGGATTTGCAATCTTACTAGTTTGTAATAATGCCCAATACCCATGCCCAATCCCCATGCATTTATTTCTTGCCTTGTCATTCCTAATAACCAGAACTGCTGGGTTGTACTAGTAGTTAACCACTTCGCTTAGGCTTCCTTGGACCATCTCTCATACCCTCTTTTACCTTTTACTGCTACAAACATACTGAAGTTCACTGCTGCTTTCAAACACACTTTGATTTTGCAAGACTCTTTAAAAGTAACATTATTTGGTCTAGTCCATCCTGCATTCGTTCTTGCATAGCCTAGAATAGTCCATTTTCCCTAAGTGGCCACATTATCTTCTCCCTGAGAGCCATTTACTGTTGGGTGGCCTCAATGAGCAGCTCTGAACTAGAAGATCTCAAACTCTCAAACTTCTGAGGTGTAGCTCTGTCCCAGCCATCAGCTCCCCTTACATCTATAGCCTTGTCTTCTTTGATGGGCAGAATGGTTATAAATACAAAAGATGGATGGAGTAGCCCAGATTCCTCAAAGAGCTCAGCATTCACTTTTGAGGCCAGAGCAAATGGTCTGCTTTTAGTCTTATTTTAAAGTGCTTAGCCTCAACATACTTAGTCATGTTCAAAACTGAATCTAAAGGTTGCAGTGGCTATATCTACAGATATGACCCAAATCTGCTGGTGATTACTTATGAAAATCTGACCCAGTTCAGCTGTAACCTTTCTGTTTGGTGTGCAGCCAAGTTTACAGTATCAGCAACATCAATGCAAAGCAACTTATATGGAAAAATTTGATCAATGGACTTTTATTTTTCTTCAGCTCTGTGTAGGGTTAGGCAAAATAGTAAGGGAGACATTACCACATGTATTGCCAAAAAGAAAGCCAATATATTTTGAATTTCAAATGCATGTTCCACCAGAAGGGGATGTTCCTTTGCAACATGGTGGGATGCCTGCTATCACTTTTGGTACAAGCTGTGTTAATGCCCAGGCCACGAGTGGGTACCAGGAGCTCAGAGTATATTTCTGGCTCTGCAGGTGACATAGTCCATGTGCCTGGATGAGTAACTCCACTCCCCTTTCACTTTCTTTTTCTGTGAAAAGATGTTTAGCATCTTTGAAAAATGCTTTGAAATTGATACACAAATGGCCAATTGATAATAATTCTAAAGGAGACTGCTAATGGTAAAGAGCTCACCTCAGTGCATGTAAACATTCCACAAGGAGACCATTAACTCAAAGAAAAAAAAAACCAGCAAATAAGTGTGAAGTCACTGATCAGTTTGATCTATCTTCAGTAGTGAATTTGTAATCCTGGTCAAAGTTCTGAAACAAAACAATTTCTAACAACAATTAATTAAAAGTAGGAATGCATATATTTTTTAGTAAAAAAAATTTCCCTGAGGTTGCATTATGAAAGGTAATGGCCTTGATAGGTAACAGCCTATAGAGGTATAGGGGCTATTATATGGGGATTCTTCTGGAGCAAGAGATTCTGAACAATGCTGTTACTGTACTAGTTCATCATATAGTGAAATTTAACCTATCTTAAAATGAAAAGTGACTTGAAACTTGATTTTCTTCTCTTTCTTTCCTTCTCTGTATGTTTAGAAATGTCAAAGTGAAACACATTGACAATTTGGACACTTTTTCAAGTTGAGAAATTAATCAAAACCAACCTTTTCCTGCAGAGGTTTCATTTTCAACCAAGTATGCCTCTTCTGATTAAAGAAGTTGCATAAAAATCCTTAAACATCTCTGCACAGGAGTACTGCTGTATCTGTTGGGTGATTCGTGCCTGTTTTAGAGACAGTTTTCATAATAATCTATAGGTGCTTTTGTAAGACTCTTTATATGAGTGCTTTTATCTGTGCACAAGTCATGTAGCCCATGGGGCTCTCCCAGCTGCAGTGCAGCACCTGTGGACACAAACCAAGGCCACACTTCGGAGAAGCAAGGGGAGAGCAGGCCTGTTTGCTGTCCTGTGCTGAGGGAAGGAGCCCTGCAGCAGGCTCCCCACAGCGAGTCCGTGTGTGCACGGGAGGTGGGAGGCAGAAGGCTGGACAGAGCCATCCCTTCCTGGGGTGCACGGAGCCAGTGGGATGGGTGGGAAACCCAGGAGTCTCCTGCTGGGGAAGATGACTGTTGGGTGGGATCTTTACAGCAACACATGGGCAGCAGGCAGGAGGATGAGTGCTAACTGCTGGAATTAGTGAAGTGGTACAGTGGGAAGGAATGGCCATGCACTGGGATGGGAAGAATAGGAAGGATTTGGAAGAAGAGGGGACAGAAACAGAGTAGAGATACAAAACAGTGTGGGGTGAGCGTCCATAACTCTGGCTTTATACCCAGTTGTGAATTTTTAGTAGAAGTTTTTCAGAAGGAAAATGTATAGAGTATTATTTATGGAGTATTATCTGTGAAATTCTGAATTCAGTATTTTTAAGAACCTGTGGCTCTTAGAGATTATACTTAGACAGTAAGAGCAGATATTCTTTGGCTAACCTTCAGGGAAGTTCCTTCCTCCATTTGTAAAGGAAATAAGGATGTGAAGATATGTATCTATGTTGTTGTGCTTCTATTCTCCCCTCCCTCATGCTTCTTAGCCCTGGTGACTTTATCAGCTTTGCTTCAGGCATCATCTGTCTTGTATTCAAGGTTATCAGATAGAGATGAACTAGGAAAAAAAAAAAGAAATCCAACTTTTGACTCAAACCCTTAAGATATAAATTATGTAATCCAGAACACAGCATTACTCCTACACACATCAGCAATCGAGTACCAGAACTGCGGGTCAGTGTTTCACCTTCAAATCACCAGATTAGAAAAAAGAGTTTCTTTCAGTGAAGTCTATACAACAGCCCTATTTACAGTTAGATATTGACTTCAATGCAGATAGGTAAATGTTTGTAGCTACACTTTTAAATTATATTTTATTTTTTTAATGCTGTGACATTTTTGAAGGCGGGAGAAGGAGATAACATGCTGTAAAGTGTGAAGTGTGCTTAACAGTTTAAGAAAACACCTGGCAGGTCTTGAGTATCTAAGTGTGAAAATTATCCCTTCATTCTTTACAGGACAATATCATAAAACCTTTTAGATAAGTTATGGCATTACTGCCAAGCCAAATTACATGTATTTGATGCCTTAGCACTACAGCATTGTGGACTTAGCCTTGTCCCACATGGACCCTGGCTGTGGGAGAAGGGATGGCTTGCAGAGGCACTACAGCTGAGAGAGCTGTGGGAGCCTGCTACAGCCTGGCCATGGAGAGCTGGACAAATGGCTGCACTGCGCTGTGCCCAGAGCCTGGCTCCCGGGCAGGAGGCAGCTCCCGGGCAGGAGGCAGCTCCCAGGCAGGAGGCAGCTCCCGGGCAGGCTCCCGGGCAGGAGGCAGCTCCCGGGCAGGAGGCAGCTCCCGGGCAGGCTCAGGGCTGCGGTGCACAGCGGCTCTGAGCTGCACAAACCACACGCTCCCAGTGCAGTGGCCTCGCTCACCCTCAGCCGGCACACCCATGCTGCTTTTCGGCAGAAAGGAGACCCAGCTCGTTCCCACAGCAAGGCTCCAGTTCAGCTCAGAGAGAGAGAAAACGTAACAAACTTAACAAGGAAATAAAAAGTTGTTCAAATTAATCTCTTCTTTCAGAGAACAGTCTATGCTTATAGTGTAAGTGATCATAAAAATGTCATTTGCATTCTTAGGAAACAATGCCTGTGCGGAATTTGCAATGTTTCAGATTCATTCTCTGGAAACAATTTGTGTGATTTATTCTGTTTTGCTTCAAGCGTGATTCTGTTTTTCTTCAGGGCTGCTTGGGGTGTGTGGTTTGACACTCAGCTTGTCAGTTTAGCATTGTGAGATTGTGAGTTTTTTGAAGAGGGCACATCTGTGGTTATAAAAGAATAACAAGAAGCATCAGATGTTCAGAGGATAAAAAAGCAGAGCTTGGGAGGATCTTAGAAATGAATACTTAGCAGAGATGACATATATATGACCCAGAGCTGTAGAGGGCTAATGTGGTATCTGTAAAATCACTTATTTTTCAAGTTTTCAAATACTCTTAATTATCTTAATAACCAACAAACACTTCAGCTACATTTCTAGTTGTGAAATTTTATACGCCAAGGATCTTAAACAGCAAAAGTATGTATTTTTTAAAAAATGTACCGAGAGCCCATAGTTCAGGAAAAAAATACTCTTCAGTACTCAAAAAAGCTTTTAAGCAGTAAAACTACTGCCCTTTTGAGAGCAGAAGGAAATGTTGGGATTGCAGCTTTATCCCATTTTCTCAAGATTGCTTGGGAAGAATTAAATTTGATGGCTATTTAAGCACCCTTTGCACAAGAAGGAGTCAAGTCCGACTGCAAAGGGGTATAGGCTTATGCAGGTTTCAGTGTAACAGTGAACTGGATCTAAACCTTGTTAAAAAATTAACAGTCATTGGGTTTTTGAACAGTTTCTGCCTTTGTTAAAGTACAATTATTATTCCAGCTTAACCATCCACATTGTTATCAAAGGACTACAGTATTTTAAAACTTATCTTTTAATCTTTCTCTCCTATATGGTGTGAACTTACCCTCTCTTTTCTGGCTATGCAGATAAAGATATTATACTAATAAAGCTTTGCTTGCACCATCTCAGCAAAGTATTTTTAATGGATCACGTGCTTTGAGAGCATGTCTTCAAGGTGAAACTATGAACAAGAAGTGCAAAAATTAGTAATTATCTTCACAAATTCTGTGCTAAAGTGATATTTACCATTTCAACTGCCAAAGTAATGTACCTACACTTGGAACTAGAGCCAGCCTTGCTAAATCAGTACTAGCCACAGATTTGCAACCATTTATTCTGTTTATTAAATTAACAAATCAGAAGTGTCTGCAAAAGGTTTTCCTCCTGACTCTAGCACTTGCAGTACTGAGGTGTTTATGGAAAATCCTACTTAGTGGCAAATCCTGATTAGGAAACGTTATCATTTTTCTGCATAATAGGTGAGATAGACATGCCTAACATATGGTTGCTATAAAATATCTTAGATGAGTCAGATCTTAGCTGACAGTTGTAAGCAGGATTGCTGTGGCTTCTTAGATAATACTACTAATTATGGTCCTTTTTGTTACTTAACTGCTGTACTGTTAAATTATATTAACCTGATTTGTAGACACTCCTATTTGTGTAAAACAAAAAGGCAAGATTTATGATGTAAATCCTGATCTAATGTTTGCAGCTTATTAAAGCTGTTTCCAAAGTCCTTCAAGCTCTCTGTAGTGATGACTAATTCTAACCTAACTGTAGGACTCCCCAAGAAGCTGCTGCTGTCCCACTAAGTGTTCAATTCAGCTACATACACCTTGAAATTTAAGAAGGTAAGAAGTGCCAGAAGTAGCATTGATTTGATGATGCAGGATGTACCAGCCAGTAGCCCCAGTGGCTTTGTGCTCTGATCCTTGCATGCAGCTCCCACAGGTAATCACAGAGTGCAAAAATGTACCAAAGAGTTTGCCTTTAAAGTACTGCCTACTACAGTGTCCTGGGGACTGACTTCCAAGCAGGGACTTTGCTGAGTGGCAAGAGGAAACTGTCTGAGAACCTGTGGTTGTGCTCTAGCCTGTTGTTGGAGAGGGGCTCTTTGGAGCTCTTGTCTTGAGGCAACTGCAAGAGAGCACAGTAAGCCTACAAACAGGGGGCAGTTGCAGCATATAGGGGCCACACTTACACTTGCAGTTCTGACTGATTAGCCTTACCAAGTCTAGGCATCTACACATTGAATTCTCATAGCAAAGTTTATCTATTTTCTTCAGAACTCCAGCTTGCACTTTGATCTACTCTACAGCTATAAGCAACTCAGGGGGAATGAATTTATCACACATGTCCATATATTGCTCACAGGCTCATCTGTTTTCCCTTGCTTTTTGAAACCAGAGTGCTAAATGAAAGCCCCTTGAAGATACGTGTTTCCCACACACATCCCCCCCCATCTCACCAAATCCTGTGTAGCACCACAAATGCCACAGCTCACGTTCTACAGCATCTTTCAGGCAGCCCATCTCCCAAAGTACTATCCACTCTGCAGAGAAGTGCTTCTAAGATGAAGCGTCACAAAAAGAAAACTCACGAGAGGAAAAGTCTTCACCAATATTACTTTCCGTCTTTGCTAATGGAAGACACACCCACTTCCTTTGACTCTAATCAGAGGCTGTCAGGTGGTAGAGATATACAGCTGAGAAACAAGAGGTCTTTATACTTAGGTGCCTAGCCCTGCCTTGTATACCATCTGCTTCTAATGGAAACTTAAGACTTGCCAAAAGGAGAGGCTGAGTCTATGTTTTCAATATTTAATGCCCACTGGAAATGACAGTTCAGCATTACCTGCTGTCCCAGTGAGATCAAGCTAAACCCCACCCACAGTACTGTGTGTTCACATGCAATTGCAGAAATAAACATGGAAATAAGTATGAAATAAGTATGGAGAACTTAGAGGCAAACTCTTGAACTAGAGTGTAGGCTAATTTCAACATAGGGGCATTATTCTTCTTTCCCTAAAGACTGGCACTCACTTGAATTCTTTTGGTGTTAACTCTTATAAGTTAACAAAAGATTGTGTGAAGTAGTAGCCATCAAAATAAGTGAACAATAGGATCAGATCGCTTAGAAACTCCCCACTGTGCAGGGGCAGGTCCCCATTCAGTTTTGTGCCACACTCTACTACAAATTACTCCAGGGAGAGCCAGTGTACTGTGTCAGCGTTTCTTTTCTGCTGACTTTTCTGTTTCTTTCCTCCATGATGGAATAGGAGCCAAGGAATTAACACCATCAATTTCATAAATGCAGTAAGGTAAGATCTGGAGACCCTAAATTTAAGAGCATCACTTCACTCTGAAGCAAATGAGGACAGGCAGGTACCTAAGTTTGGATGCCTAAATTTAGATGGTATGAATACTGCTTTCCCCTTCTCTCTTCCTTTTTCTTCTCTTTGATGTGCTAGTCCTTTTTTCTAGAAGAGTTGAAAGTTACAAGAGACATGTCCAGCTGAGCTGCTCATCCCCTCTTGCACTTTGTAGAGTCCAGGTTATCTCAAAATAGGGGGAGAAGTGTAGACATCAAGATTCACAAAACCGTTATTTTCCCCTAAAACCACAACAGATGTCTCACTTTGAAGCTACTCACTGAGACTGAAGAGTGAAAATACAGGTGACTCTTGTATGTGTTGTATGGACACAGCCTGTGAGGCCAGGACACATATCATGCATGTACCAGCACCTTGTCGCTCCCTGCATCTCCCTGTGAATGACAGGGTAGATCTAAATTTCCAGCCCTGGGTTTAGACAGCAGCACAGCCCTGTCAGTTATGCTGAGGAACTTTTTTGTTTTGATAGTTTTCAATTAAATAAATCAGGCTCTCTTCTGCTTGTTTTAATGTAGGAATTTGCATTATCATATCTAGCTTGATTTGCAACCTTTACACAGATTCAAGGTAATCGCTTCAAAAAACTGAAAGTGTATGGGTTACATTATGACTTTTCTACTTTCCTGAAATGGTGAACATAAATGAATCACTTGGACTCCTCTTTTTCTCTCCAAAATCCAAGAAAAATAAGTAAGCATGGTCAATGGGCAAAAATAATCAAATGGCAGCAGTGAAAGGCTCTATGCTAGGAAATTTAGTATTAAAGAGTGCAGTGCTTACACTGAGAGTATTTACCAGGCTGTGAACTGAACTTTGGTGTGAAAATAGACACAAAAGTCTTTCCATCAGCCACTTTGGCCAACACAAAGACTGCTTTGAATAATGTTAAGAAAATGTGACTCTGTGTATGTGCTTGTTCTCTTCCTGAGATTATTTCATTACAGCTATGGAAAACTTGGTAAGAAATCCATTCTGTGACATGCAGGTAGGTATGTGTCACACATTCCTCCTTTGAGGTGGAACAGCTGTAACAGCATGAAGCAAGCTTTAAACTAAGCTGTTCTTTTATTCTTTACTAAATCAATTATATATGTCAGGAAAAAATAATCAACATATAAGTTTGGTTTCCTTCCCGCCTCCCTGCTATTAAAAGAAACTCTAATTGCCCTGCTACTGGTCCATGGCCAGACAGTGCTGGATCCTTTACAGGGTTATGGCAGTGGACTTCTGAGACTTTATGATCTTTGTCCTCTAAGGTGCTAATGGCTTTACCAAGTTTATGCCCCTTCGACAGAGCTGTTCAGAAATAGAGGCTTCTGTCCCATTTACCCTAAACCCCAGATCCATGATGTCGCTTCACATCTGCAGCTTAGAAGTCAGTCATTACAATTTAGTGTATTCTGAGATAAGGCTGAAACCACTACTGACCTACATGTCAACTGCTCTCATCTGTTTAATTTACACAGAAGGAAAATCAGTAAGCACAGAAACAAGGCCACAAGGAAACAATCTGTCTGCGAACGTAAGCACAATGAGAAGGGGAAGAACAACATCAAAAACCAGCTGAGTTAAGAAAGAGTGACATCTTCTGAAGGACAGATACTTGTGACAGAAATTTGCTTTAGGATAAAAAAAGATATCTAGATTTGACCATTTCTAAGCAGTTAGGCTGTTACAAAGCATGCTCATAAGAAAACTACATAAATGAATTGAATTTTTGGTATTTGAGTTGTGATTTTTATACACCAGTTAAGGCTGGCAGTATTGAAAGATCCTTTTGGGATGAGTCTATAGACTCTCTCATTCAAAAGTATTGGGTACATATGTATACTTTCTGCATTTATTTACATGTGTGCTACAGATGTCTAACGGAGATGAAATCATCACAAGGAAGTGAAGAATATCTCTTTAGGGTGTTCCCAGCATACTACAGAATCTTCTTCTGGCCTCATGGATGGAGAAATGTTATTTTGTTCTTGTAGGGCAAGGAAAAGAATGAGGGAGCTTACTACAAAGCAGTGAAAGAAGAGATGCATAAATCCTGAAAGCTTACTTTTTTGAGCTGCTGAGGCAGACAGTAAAAGCAGTTATAGTGAACCCTGATAAAATGGTCTTTGAGCCTGCAACCTATTCATTCTTATTACACGATCATACATTTCCTACACAGTAGGTGGTGAACCCCAAGCCTAAAAATAAGTACCAAAAAAAAAAAAAAAAATCACACCACTAAACTGACAGGAAATGTAAAAACTTTCCAAATGAGAGCCATCAAACCTGATGAAACACAGTCACATTCCTGGTATGATGTACATCTGCAATGCCTTCTAGGTGTACTCTGTATGGCAGAACTGTTGTGAGGTAATCTTCGTGCCCTAAGGTAAACATGCATGGAACAGGCTTGCTCAGAATCTGCTAGCTGAAAATACAAATTCAGTCAACTTCCAAAAATCAGAAGTGAATAGATATAAATTCAAGGTTTAAGTTGTGCTCAGAGTATCATACCTATTACCCAATCTTCTACAGAAGTTTATCTTTTGGTGAGGTCTTGACCCATCTTTCCATATGTATCAAGTAAGTTTTTTCCATCATGGTACAAAACCAATGTAATGTCTATCCAGTAATTCTTACAAATTTTGTATCAGACACACTCTGATCGTAATGGGCATTTTCCCCCCTACTGCATACTTAGAAAAATGCATAGCTGTAACTCTGCATTAAAGGTTCTTCTAGTTCTAAATTGTTGCTTTTACAACTTACACTGAACGTAACTTCCCATTACAATGTAAGTTTGGAAAAGTCAAGCATCGCCTAAATAAAGTCTACTGCGCAGTGAAGCTTCCATGGCAAAGCTGCATGAGCTTCTATGTGTCGGGGGTAATCTACATGTTTATTCTGATTATCATGAAGGAACTACACAGCAGTGAACTATTCAAGTTCCTTTCTGGTGTCCAATTACAGAAGCAAACCAAAGGAATAAACTTTGGTTTTTCAAACTGAGTGAATGTGCAGCAGTCCTGGTAAGGCTTGTCTCAGCCTTAACTAGTGCTGGCATTTGCTGCAGACTAAGCACTGTCAGTTACAACTTTCTTCTCAAGTCTCTCAAAATACAGTGTCCTATGATCTGAGAACTAGAAATAAAACATATTATGGAATCATTAAGAATTACTAGTGAGTCTAGTAATCTAAAACTACTAGGACTAGTTTTAAAATGCAATTTATGATCCATTAGTGACAGAAGCTATTCCAAACACAGCCTAAATAACACAACTCTTTGAAATGAAATGACTACTGAAAGCAAAAAAATTTTAGTTATTAAAATCTATTTTAAAAGTCCAAATTAGTAACACCTAGAGTCTGTTTAAAAATAACTTTTACACAAGTTCAAAGACCACCCCTTTTCTTAGAAGTAGCAAGACAAACAGGCTTTGAATCAGACACATTTGTGTACTGTTGTCATCATTCTTAAAGATTCCTGCTACATGCATGAGGGAAACTGGAAAAATGTCAGCAGCACGGCTCTTACCATCAGAGGCTCACACACTTTTTCCCCCCCCCCGTCTTTCCCTGATCCCTGCAGACAAACATTGACTGAAAGTTTCCAAATCAAGAAAAACCAAACCAATCCAAATTCCTTTCTACTGCTTTTGAACACTTTTCAGATGATCCGTATTTTAACTTGTCTTCATACCTTGAACAACTGTGGTTAGTCAGCTTCTTCACAAGACTACAAAATTCTTACCCATAGGAAGGAAATGAAAAAGCAGAAATGCAAGAACTACAATTCATATGAAATTTCATTTTTCATTTTAAAGAGCTCAAACAACTGAAGGTGTTCTTTTGTTCTCTGTGCAACCATTTCAGGTAGTAGGAAATGCTAGGATGATCATGTTATTCTGTGGGGAACAAAGGAGTGAGATTAGTAACAATACTATAATGCTATATTTACTAAATCAGTTCAGTATGATCAACATAAGGTATTTGCTCTTAAATTTTTTGGCCTACCTGAAATGAAAAATGTAATCTCAACATCATGCAAAAAATATATATCCCTTAACTCAATTTTATATTGCAAAAATGGAACATAAAAATTTCATTGTCATAATTAAAAAAAACTCTGCTTAGTCTTAGCCATTGTTGCCACAAAATTTTTTTTAATAAACTGTGGTAGTAAAAATTCCTCAAAATTGCAGTAAACCAACCATACATTATGAAAAGATTAAGTGTGATAAGTAAGCAGCTGCATTTACTGTAAGTGATAAAATGATGACACTAATTTCCATACCATATAGATTTCTTTACTTTAAAATGTGCTTCTCACATTTTCTGCTCCAGCTGATACAATCTTGTCATTACTGTACATACTTACAAAATGCTGAAAATTAAACCCGTGGTTACCAGCTTGGTTTTAAGACACACAAAGTAGCTTAAATCTGACTGACCATTCAAGTTGTCAGTTCATTCTAAATATTCTTGTTAAACTTTCCAGATCTTCATTTTTGAAATGCAGTTCTTCCAGTAATGTGGTCAGGAACTGTGTGTACATTGGGCTTGTCTGAGTATTCTTGAAAAGTGGACTTGTTTGTGACAATCTGGAAAAAACCCAAACATATTTCATACAGTAAAGCAACATTTGAGTGGCAGATGTTAGAAAACAAAGCTTGTGAGTTCAAACAACTGTATTGAAGAAAAGCAGTTTATAATGTCACATTTGATTAATTACACTATATAATAGACTGTATGTATGATATAAAATATGAGCTGTACCAAAATATGATTTTATTAGTATGTAGTAAATTTAAAAAATCTAATTAGAAAAAATGAGAGTAGTTTGTATGCCTCTAATCAATTGTACATAGATGTTATATAATGTAGACAGATATCAGAATAAAAAATGTGCAGAATGTACAATTAGACATATAAAAATAAGGATCCCAGTCATTATTTATTTCTTTACCAAAAAGTTCCTAAACAGTCACACAGTGAAAGTTATATACTTCTTCATATGGCTAAAATATAAAAGAGATATAAAATTGCTCAGTTTGGAAGGAGCTACCACTATGCAGATCACCTATGTATATAATATCTGTATGCAGATGAGCTGAAATACTGAGCTGTTTGTTCCCATTTGCCCTTTAATTCGTCCAATTATATTTTTATCCTGAAGGCCTTCCTTTTTCTCCTAATTCTACTGCAAAATATTGCAAAGGTAGTAATAGCTGAATCTACTTCCTAAGCCCAAATATTAAAAAAAATTATTTAACAAATTCAAACATTAAAGCTTATGCTAAGTGTTAAGAAACTTCCAACACCAAAGATTACTAACAAGATCACTTAACAAGAACTCCTATCCGAGCAACAGCTACTTTGTCTCAAATACTGTAAACAGTGCCATTGACACCATACATGAAAGAGTTATTTTAGAATACATTTGTGCAATGAAGTACTTTTAATAAGAAATTCAAGGTAGTCTGCAGCTTCCTAGAACTTTCCTAGCTCAGGAAGTCTTCAAGTGAGTAACAACTGAGATCAATCTCCCTGCAGGCACTGGTATTAAGACCATCTCCACTTGAAGAAAGCTGCATATGAGAGAAGAATAAATTTTGCTTAAATTAAGCAAAAAGAGTGATAAAACACAAAGAAAGGACCTTACAAGACATAGTAAGAATCCCTTAATAAAAAAAAAATATCAAAAACATTAATGAAAAAAAAAATTTCTTTCTGGATTCCATTCTAGCTAAATAATTCAGCTCTCAAACACTGACACTTGGTGAGAAGGACTTTAAGAGATGCTTGAAGTAAGGGCAATGTGTGGAAAGAAATTACTTATGCATAAAGTCTGCTATATATAAAAAAGAGAAGTATCCAAAGTCAAGTCTGTGATTTTGGCCTGAGGCCACAGGGTTTGTCAATGCACTTCATGCCAGCCAGGACTGAGCTGTTTCTTTCCTGGTGGGAACTCCCGGCGTTACTCCCTGGGCTGGTAAATCAGAGTGGCCCTGGCCAGGGCAGGCAGGCGGGAGGCTGTGCTTGCATGGTGAGGCTTTATCAGCGGGGAACACAGCAAGTGCTGACAGAGGACCAGAGGAGCCACTGCACAGTGTTAGGCTGGAGATGGTGGGAGGAAGACCAGGAGATGCATTTCTACTTGTCTTCAGTTCACCCTTCTCAGAATTATGCAGGTTGTATATGAAAAAAGACTGGTGGCAGAAACAGTCATGACTTCCTTAGTGCTGGTGTGAGGCAGCTGTAGCACTGTAAACCATTCTCCTGGCCATGATGTAGATTTACATGCATTTTTACTTGAATTTTCTTACTCCTGCCATGGGCTTAAGAGGATATTACCACAGACATTATTTTTGAAAAACAGCAGAAAGCTTGTGCAGTTTTAAGGATGACTCTAAAACCAAAATATTTATTACCATGAAGCTCACTTTTTTTTTTTTTTGGAAGTAGTTGGTCATAGTACATAGTTTCATGAATTACAAGCATGTTGTAAATGTCAGACCCTGTTTAAGACACACTGCTTAAAGAGTAGCTTTTATAGCTTACACCAAAAAAGAAAGAAACAGGTATTGCTATTTTCAGAGAAGTTGCCAGGCATTACATATTGAGAAATGGAAGTTTAAAAAAGTTTTAGACATGGATCAATTTTTTTTTCCTTACCTGAACTTTGTTTTAAAATGAATTAAGCTATTGATTATTTGATAAACAAGAGACTAAATCAACAACTCATTTTAGAGAGGCACGTGCAAGTTTGTAGCAATTAGTTAAAAGTTGCATCTTGATGGGGCCACATGTTAAATATTTATGAACCTATGTACAAACACTTTTCTCTTGGAAAACTGTGTCCTTTTGACCTTTAAATAATGCTTCAACTTGTCATTTGAAAAGCAGTTATTGTTGAGTACTTTTCTAGTTTCAGGTGGCTGCTGCAGCAGAAGCAGAAGCTTTTGTCTGGGAAAGGAGCAAGAAGAAGTTGCTGGTTTGTGTGGAGTGGTAAGTTACGTGCTCTAAGAAACACTGGTCCAATGTATATTTGAGGTACTGCACAAAAGAGTACTGAGGGACTGCTTAGCTGAATTAAAACTTAATTGTATGCAAACAAGCCAGAACAGCATTTGGAATCAGTATCTTCAAGTCACAGAAAATTAAAATGATCTTATCTCTTAAGAAACTATGATGACTAATTCAACTTAATGACACACAGGATTTCAGTTCAAAGATTGCAGAATTCCCTTGAAAGTCTGCAGCATCTTCTACAGATGTAGAATATAAACAGGAAATAGGATACTTGGGACCACAATAATAAGAACTGGTTAGTGGACCAGTGGAAAGAAAATACAAATTTTGCTTTTCTGTTAAGTCTTTCACATGTTGCAACATTAATCTGGAACAAACTTTTATGAATAAAGTAAAAAAAAAATAAGAACATCTAAAGGATTAATTGATTTTAAAATAGCCACCTACAGAAGTACACATTGTAAATGTTACAGTCCGAAATTACACACCCATTCTTCAAAGGCTCGCCTTCAGCAAGAACTACTAAAAGGAAATGTTCATGCTCATATCATGGAAAAGTAGTATATCAGACTTGATGAGAGTGTAGTTTCCTGCACACCCACTTACACCATATGGTAAACAGGCATTTGTAACGTTTAAAAAGTGTTAAAATGTAAAACTCAATCTGATAGATAAAATTTCTATTTGCTGGCAATTCCACATATGTTATATGTTCAAGAAAAAACCCTCACTAAGGTGAAATTCATGTGAAGAATAATCAATTATTGTCAAGCTATTAAAGGACATCTGGCTACCACAAAATGTTTACATCGTTTCAGTACTTCAGCTCAAAACCCAAGCTTTCTATGAATCAGCTGCCTTACAAAAACATTTGGCAAGTATGTTTAGGAGTTAGACCTCAATTATTTTAGGAATAAGTTTCATTAATTGATATGGTAGGGTGTGCGATTTGTTATTAGATTGATGTGTACCTTAACGAAAACAGCTGAATACATTCAGAAAAGAGAAAACTTTTATGTAATTAAAAGCATTAATTGGCATTTCCTATCCAGAGGTATGAATATTCTTTCTAAAAGCCCAAACCAATTGTCCAGTGCTATCTTTCCCCCAGCTACTGGATCTCAGGGAAAGCTTTCTGGACCTTCTGTTTAAGATTAATTTTGTGATTCCCTTTGAAAACGTTAAAAATTTTCAAAGCCACCACAGTGTTACCAGTCAGTTACAGCTCTCTGAAACAGACACCTGAAAACAGGGGTACAAACACAGCCACATAAGTATTTAAGCACTGTGAATAAGACTCTTAACATAACCACCACAATATAAGGGTTTGGGTTTTTTTGTTCTCTGTTTCTTTCTACCTTTTGTTTTAGTCAGTTCAGACTTAATTTTTTAAGATCATCATAACCAGGATCATTGATAACTAGTTTTCTATAAGAATGATGGAGTAGAACTAATGAACGATCACAAAAGTTTTCCTTAACACTTGTTTCAGAACACAGATGCAAGAGCTGGCAGCGCTACAGGCAGAATTCTCCCCCTTTCCCCAACAAAACCACAGACACAGAATAATGCATGTGTGCTACAAGGGTGCCAACAAATCTCTGACCAATAGACTCTTGCTCCAGCTATAACAATGCAGATAACCATGCCATTGTAATGGGTTCTACTGCATCACCACAGAAGCGCTGGGGTGTTCTGGTTTTTTTTTTTTTTTTTTTTTTTAAACACTCCAAATATATTTGCACTACTATTAAGCTACAGATTTGATGGGCTTAGCAGTACAATAAAAATATTACTAATCAGAAATGCCTTTCTTTTAATATAGCAATTTTATAGAATACACTTTCAGATTCCATTTTAGTTATGCTCCTTTTAAGGAAGTCTCTGACACAATTAATTAAACAAAAGCAATTGTTTTGTTTAAGACAACTGGCTAGACTGACTCGATCCAACAAGTGTTAAACATCAGCAATAAAACTCAAGTGAATTGATGTGAATTGATGTTCATTGCAGCCCACAGACCATCTGCCTGTACATGCAGCTGTAGTGCTGCCATGTATCAATCACTTACAATAGTGCTTCAGCTGATGGGGTAAACTCCAACACTTGCTGCATTTATCCATTTAATGAATCCCTACCCAAAGGCACTCAGACATTTGGGAAGAGTAAGTTGAAACCATCACTGTAATTTTGTGTGTTCTTCACAATACATTGGCTGCTTGCTTAATTTGAGGTAGAATCTCTCACTTCCAGTATCTCACTAGATACAGTACACTTGTCTAGGGACTGCAATTTTGTTAGTAAAGTACCTTAAATCCCAAAGCCTGGTGCATCATCAGGCCAAAGTTAGTATTGGACAGAAAGCTGATCTTAAGCACAACATGAGTCTAGCTGTAAGATAAAGATGCAACACCAGGGAGTTAAAAAAAAAAAACCCAAAAAAACTTTGGTGTAATTAAGTGGTTACACTTAATTACTATGTTTAAACATATGCTCATAAATTAGAAAATATTACATCCTCAAATTATATAATTTAGCTGTTATGCTGGCAGTTTCAGTGAAAAAAAAC